AACTTTTTCAAAGGGATAGATAGATAGATAGATAGATAGATAGATAGATAGATAGATAGATAGATAGATATAAAGATCATATTTCCTACAATAAGCAAATATTTTCTGAACAAATAAAAACATTTTCACATTCATGAAAGATCAGATAACATTAGGCTGAGTTCAAAAGTAAACAGGAGCATATGCACGCGACACTGTATTCACACACATATATCTACAACTCTAAATAGTTGTAAAACTACTTTGGGGATTGAGGAAATAAAATGGTGATAAGATGGTAATATCATAGACCTCAGTCAGTAGTTCCCAACACCAGCAATTCATAGTTCACTACAGAACAGGAATCTTAGCTGTTTCCAAGGAGGACTGAAGATATACTCCAAAGAGTCTAGCAAAACCTTATATATAGTTGTTTTTCTATGTGTGTGTGCACACATTTGTGTATGTATATAAATAAATCTTAAGTGTAACCATTCTTACTCACTGAACCACAGGATGGCGTAAACTTCTTGCACTTTCTTTTGCATCATAAATACTTGAGAGACGAAGATAAAACAGCAGATAGATTAGAAGAGGACCTGTATATTCAGTTAGGAAAACCTGGGAAAAAAAATCCAACCAAGAAGGAACAGAGAAAGATTGGTTAACACAATAAGAACAATAAAATAAGGGTGATATTCCTGGGAAGTGTTTTTTAACTTGGCTTGCTCTATTTGTTGAGACAGCATAACGTAGGCCAACCTGAATTTGCTCTTTTGCTGTAGCCAGGCTCTACCTTGTCCCAGTCATAAGGCCAGCAAATGTGACTTTACTAAGAGCTCACTGTGGGACAAATTAAAGCACAAGGATTGATGGAGTGATCCACCAATTGCTCTCCTCAAAGTTAGCTGGTGCTATGGCACAGAGAGAAGGCGGGTTAAGACAGCTGGCTAGAATGATATGGCAGCTATCTGTCAGAACCTTTACGATTTGCTTTAGAGAGGTCCTGATCTGCCACTTAGAGGGATCATCCCTCAGTGGATGCCAAATTTGCTGTGAATTCCCGAATACTGCCAGAAAGCCTCAATACAATATTCTGTCTCCACTGGATTATATACAGAAATCCCTCTCATCTGAGAGTTTTTTAGTAGATGCAGTGCAGGAGTCATGGTCTGTATTCAGTTGTTATCTTGTATTTGCTCCTGCCCTTCAGTTAATGCCAGAAGACTGAGATAAATAGTCTGAGCCTCCCAATGAGGCATCACAAAAATATTGTTACGGAGCTGTTCCTAGGTATGTAGCCCTTTCAGACAGACAGGGAACAGAAACCCAAGTAAGCCTATAGGGTGTCGCAGCCCAGAATTTTGCACATAACTCTCTGGCCTGAGAAATCAAAGAGACATGCAAACAGATAATAAAGACGTAGATTTGCTCCTCCACGTCAGGATTCCAGCAAATTCATAACCAGACACTTAGCCTATGCCAGTCCTCTCCCAGTAACAATTATGGGGACATCATACTTCGTCAGTGATTGAATAGAATATTGTGGGTACTAAATGTTTGGGTCTAGTTTATATATAATCCATCACCAGTTTTACATTCTTTTCATACAAGAATTTTGGATGCTTGACAAATTCTGCAGAAATAATGCTTTGCTCAGTCAGAGAGACGACAGATTCAAATTCAAAGTGGGATTGGAATTGTTTATCTCCACTAATTTGTGACCTGAGGCCATAAAGTTACCCTTTTATGGCATTGTTATTCATTCATCTCTATTTACCACCACTGTGTCTTCATTCACATTTTTTGACAAAATAAAACCATGGAAAACAACAGATCAATAAATATAGAACTGTCTAGAATTACATACTCTTAGTTATGTAGTTATGGTGGATGGCCTGTATCCCAAAATAACAACATGGGATACAACATGGACTTTTTGCACATTTCCACTCTTGGCATCCAGATACAGAGTCCATATCAATACTACCTCCTAGGTCCTCAATTTACCTATACACGTAGATGGGTAACTGTATATCTATGGGGGGACGGGGGCTGGGAATTAGGGTTAGATTTACATGCCCTAAAACTGGCAGACAAATATCTTTCTATCTTGCTCTATGCTGATGATGCTGTCACCCTGTAATAATGCAGGCTGGTCTTGGGACAGCTCTTAAAATCTACAGATGGCACATAGATAATCACAACATGGAACAACTTAAAAAGCTGTATATGTCTCAGAGCTGTTTTCCAAGTTTCTAGAAAGAAAACTGCTCAGACTACCTATTCCTCCTCAGTGGTTCCAAAACAAGAGCTGCAGCAATAAAAAGATTCCACTCAAAGCTGGGAGGGAATTTCATTTTAGCAGCTATTAAACAGCTTGTGAAATCAGTCATTCAGTAATTATAATTAGTACATTAGCATAATTAGGGTATTCCAACTATGACCCCTTCAAAAAAAAAAAAAAAAAGAGCCACGTCTTTAAAGATCTCTTTTTCAATCTCTCAGATATGTCCAATGCAATACAAGACTGCAGGTCAGCCAAAATTGAGGCCAAATTCTGGCTAATTATCCTGACAACCTGGCTAAGGCTTATCTTGGCATCAACTAAGTTGCCGCTATTAATATCATCGGACAACTTTACATCTACAAGGTGGAACAGCACCTCATGTAAACATTTATGTGGCCTTTCACCTGGGGAATTTATTGTCCCTGGCACTAAACAAAGCTAAAGAGGTCATTAAACAGAGAATCTGGGACACAGCATTACAGAATGACTTGGGTCAGTTTAAGTCAAACTTCAAAGATGTATTGACCCCTAAGAGATTTCCCAACACCTAGTCCAGCAGCTTATCTCTGTTCAAGTATCCCAAATATTGTTGGAAATTCTCCAGAGCCCAGTTTAGTGCTCTGGCTTCTGCTCTTTTAGAAGGCAAGTTTGAATCAATTGAATATATTCTGCTATACTGTCAGTGTTACTCTGATTCTTGGTTTAATTTAGGCTTTAATAAGAAATTTTCCACATCATTCAAATAAATTTTACATTTGATTCCTTTTAACTGACAGCAGTGGTTTTCAGTCTTTTTCATCTCATGGTACACATCTCCTACGCAGGACTTCTGGGTCATGAACCCAGAATTCTGTGACATCACAGGGCACTGGGACTTGGGAGCAGAAACGGAGCACTTTCTGTCATTTACTTGTGGCTCATTGATATGGCACAACTGCAGACCTTTTGTGGCACATAAATGTGCTGCGGAACAGCAGTCGAAACCCTCTACTTTAAAGTCACATTTTTAGTTGTCAAATTTTGCTTCTTAGCAACAGGGACTTGCTATATGATTGTAACTCTGTAACACTGATTCAAAGAAGGTACTATCTGAAGTGAAAGTTGGTTTGTGTACATTTCTATTGATATTACTACTACTGTATATTTTTGCTTTCAAAACCAGTGTTTTGACTGTATTTTGGTCTAAAACTGTAATAATATTTGACTGGATTTGATCGACAGCTAGAGTGACAGGTTTAAGTCTCTGTCAGAACCTTTTTTGTGGGAAGAATAGTAGAAGTTGTAGTGTGCAAAATTCCTTCCCTTAAACTTTGCCTTCCAGTGAATTCCTCTGTGGGAATAACCAGATCAGTAAAAATCTTTTTGGTTTTTCTATCCGCATTAGTTGGGAAGTCTGCTGAGTTTTAAAGTTGATTTTTAAAAAAGAAAAATCCATCAAAATATTTTTAAGAATTACGTTTCCAAACATCTAACATAGGGATGTTGCTATTTATTTATTTATTTATTTATTTATTTATTTATTTATTTATCATGTTTATATGGCCGCCAATCTCACAAAAAGCAACTCTGGGTGGAGTACAACAATCCCTATGTATCTTCCCCTAATTTATATAGTTCTAACAGCATAAATTTCCACACACCCCTTTTATAATGTACATTCCTTTGTATTTGCCTTTCTCCAATTCAATCCTCTTTAGCATAAATTTTAAAATGTAATTACCACTATTAGTATGCGACATTCTGGTGTGTATCTTCCTTTATGTATTCTTTTTTCTTTCCTTTTTCTTTTTGGCAGATTAAGGGAAGATAATGTTCAGTGAGATTTTGTTGGCTGCTGCCCTCTATGCCATTGTCAGCTGTTGTTGTTGTTGTCAGCTGTGGTAGGGGTCAAATGCCCAAATTTGCTATTAACTAAATCCTTGCTGAAATTTCTCTGGTGATAAACTAGTAAGAGTGTGAAAATTAGCCAAAGTCTGATTCAGATTTGAAACATGACAGAGACAAGATTCAATTCAAAATTTGGATTTGAGATTTTGAGGCAGCAAAATTCAGTTTGAAGCAATTTGAGAGTAAAGACTACATAGAGTTTCTGCAGTCATTTATGATGGGGAAGCATCAAAATGACTGCAAAGCCTTTAATTTTTATTATTTTTTTTACAAAATGGGATAAAAATATTAGAGATGCTGGACTGTTTACAGACCTTAATTCTGCATTTTCAGTTAAATGCTTTCAAGACTTCTGCCATAGTAAAATGTTGAAGTATTGTATCTCATACCTCTTTTAAAGCAAAGATAACAAAGATGAGAATAGAAAAGCACAACATTTTCCATATTGTCTAACAAAGAGTCTATAGAGAAGTAGCAGTGAGCCAATGCAGAAAGTGTCTCATTCCTATATATAAACAAAAACTTTGAAAAACTATTTAAAAAGTAAGTGCTTACTAAAGCTCAAAAAGATCACCACCCTGAGATTCACTGGCCAGCTTCTCCTGGCATCAACATATCGTGTTGCTTGTGCAACAATATTATTAAAAAAGTTTGAAATGTGTTTATTTTTTATTGCTTACATAATATTTTATGACAGAAAGTAAATGTTTGTATTATAATAGTCTAACAGCAATACTATTATTTATTTATATACTGGATTAGTAAATCTGTCTAATCACCAAATGCCTCAAATTCTGACTCAGTCCCGCTCATGCAGTGAATAAATCTGACCTCCTCTCCCTCTCCCTCTCTCTCTCTCTCTTTCTCCCTTCAGGTGAACTTGCTTAATAAATCCTGGAACCATAGAGTTGGAAGGGACAACAGGTTGCTCCCCAGTTCTAGCTAAAGAGTGAGAAACACCACATCAGAACAGCATGACTTTGAGTGCTCTAATAGACAAGTGATATATCAGAAAGCTGATCAGGCAATTTAATCCCTACATTCAGCTTGGTGCATATGTAGAAGGAAAACTGCATGCAGGTTTGAAACTGTATAAAGACAGTAAATCTGTCACATTTATGAATCACTTTCAAATCTCTACAAAACAATTTGAGGGCAGTTGATTTGGACAACAACAAAGCAGCTACAGTAATCATGGCTGCAGTCAATCACAGAATGCATCTACTGAATCTGAAAGTTAATGAATGAAAACAGTGGTGCAGCTTTGCAGCCTGTGAACAACACGCTGAAGTTAACAGAAAAGATTAGGTATGGCTCTAATTTTTTAAAAAAATATTTGGATTCATACAATAATAATAATATCATAGAACTGAAAAAAAAATAGCAAAAGTTGGCAGTGTCACTGAGTGACTACAATGTTTTTAACTACACAGCTAATTTACTATAATAGCAAATTATAATTAAAATTTCTGTTGGCGTCTGGTAGAGGAGCAGAGGAGTACCTTGTTGCTCCTATTTTTTCAAAGAGAAAAATATCTGCATCTTATATTAACTAATACTCTGGACTTAGTTTCCTAACTGCTGAAACTGGAACATGATGGATATTCACAAAAGAGGCCAAATCTAGCTGATACACAATGTACCGAATGCTAAGTATGCTTCTGTATGCCATCTATTTATATATGACAGAAAGATAGAAGGGGGGCAGGAATGTGTCTCTTAATTCTTGATTCCATGAATACCAGAGATAATATTCAGTTCAGACCACAAGCTTCATATGCCTGGATCATTCATTCAAATTCATCATATAGTAATGTTAATGACTCAGCATTTCTGGTTAGCAGTAAGAAACAAATTGGGGACTGGGAAAATCTTTGTTCCTGAATGCTGGGTGAAATTAGACACCTAATACACCTTTCTCTAACAAATGCATTGAACTGCTGAAAGTTCAGTGCATCTGAGACCAAGGCTTAGCAAAAGATCTTATGGCTGTGACATCTGGTCTAATATTTACAGCATCTTCTTCTTCCCCTATTTGGCTTTTTGTAACATCCTTCCTAAGGAAATTCTGCAAAACCTGAACATATACCTACTTTTGTGTCATTTTAATTGATCCTAGTAAAAAAATTAGTTATGTTATCTAGAATGCTCCATTCTTCATTTATCATATTCTGTAGGCCACCTGAGGCTTCTTGTTGTTACTGTTAGCGGCAATTTGGTTTTAAATTTGATAACCTATAAAAAATTAAAAAACACCTCTTGGTGACCTGGCTAGAATGCTTCTGTAAACAAAGAGGGTTTATTTTCTTAATTTCTTCTTCATCTTGTCATATGATATTATATATATGATATTGATGAGCCAATAGAACTTTTCACAGATTAAGAAATTTTGTGGACATTAAAAAGATTAATTCAAGTCCCTCCAATAAACTGCATTTTCACATGGTACCACCTAACATGGCAGTAGCATAATTTTAAAGCACTTACAGGTATGTGCCATCTACCACAATGCTGCTTTAAACTTATAAAACCAGAGTTCATGCCTAATCTCACCAGTGGATTTTTTGAGAATCAATGGGCAAGTCTGCTCACTTTTCAATTTGAAAATTACAGAAATTATAGTTTTTAAGCTACTTTGAAATGTTAGGATTTGGGGTTTTTGCCTTTTGTTTTGCTTATTCTGTCTGTAATATACAAGTTCATATGGTGACTATTCTCTTTGAATTCCTTTCATATTTTGTCATTTATTTTAAAGCTGGTTTCTCTAGTATTTCTATTGCCACTTGAGTGTTCAGAGGTGCCCATAAAATATTGTTTTGTTATAAACTACTCAATAACCCACAAGAAAGGTCAGGATATTGCAGATGGAGAGGTTGAAGAGAAAATAGTTTGCCTATTGAGTTCTTGGTGAAGGTGATGTTTGAATTGGGATTTCCGATTTGTACATCCAATTTTTTAGCCATTAGAGGTTAATTGCTGAAGTCAACTTCTTGAAGCATCTTGTGATAAGCCAGTTCCAATTTATTAAAAATTCTCTCACAGTCAGGTAAGGTTCTGCATCAGTGTTTCTCAACCTTGCAATTTTAAGTCAGGTGGACTTCAACTCCCAGAATTCCCCAGCCAGCATGCTGAGGAAGTGAGACTATTTAAGCTTAAATAGTGAGACTACTTAAGGGGAAGCTGTCCTCAGTTGATTCCTAGGGTCATTGTTTTTCTGTGTTCCTTGGCTTTAGCTTCTAAGCTAAAGTGCATCTTTTAGTGATGAACAAATCTGGATTTAGTAGGCCAAAAACTATAACCAAACATGCAAATAAATAAATTGCTTGCCTAAACAAATTTAACAAAAGAAAAACCAAGCGGCTTTGAGCTGTTTTAGAACTGAACTGTATCGCTGTGTATATTTGTACTTCTACAAAAGTTATACTTACCGTTGTCCAGCTGACTTGCTGTCCCATGTCTGTGAAATACAGAGTAATGATAGAAGATGCTGCAAGACTCTTTACGTTAACAGAATCTTTTAAATAGGGGCCATCTATAAAAGCAAAGAAGCAAGAAGAGGGGACACATAATTTCATCTTGCATAATGTTTCTCTGATAAATATATAAGCAGAAAGAAAGGTGATTTCTGCTCAAAAAAAAAAAAAAAAGCCTAGCAAATGAAATACTGTTTGCTATTCTATGGTACCAGTGAGATTGTCAAATAATATATACACCAGCAGTCCCTAAACCACCATTGAATGCAAGCATGGGGATATAGCAATTCTGCATCAGGGACACGGTATCTACTTGGGTGCCTTTTAACAGCTACAGGACTTTCTGAATGTGTTTCTGGAGAGTACAGATGTGACGTGAGCAAGAATTAGTGCAGCAGTTCCTTGTAACTTTAACAGAAGGAAGGATTATTAAAGGAAAGAGATGGTGGAGTTGTAGGGGAGAGTTGGCCAACAAAGCCTATCTACTTCCTAACTAGTTACATACATCAGGCAGAGCATCAGACAGCAAGTGTGCTGGGAAGACAAAGGCACCCAGGGAAAGTGAGAGATAAAGGCAGTACACAGAGGAAATTCCTGACGTGTTATCTCTACTGTCACTGCCCTTTGTTGTCAGTAGGCTGAGAGGTGCTACAGAGTCAGTGCAACCGAAGTCATTCTTGTAACAATTTTTACCTGGGTAGTATTCACTCTGAGGAACTAGCCCAAGTTTTCCTACCTCTTTTCCTCTCTCTGGACATGTCTTTGTGCATATATGGCAAAGGACTTGTTGAACTGTGAGTGACCCATACTGAATTCTGCCATCTGTATGGATTTCCCCAACCTTGCTTATCTTATGCTTTGTAATTCTTTCTGACTGCTTTCTTTTCTTAGTTTGAATGTGGTTAGTTATATATGCATCTTCTCCCAGGAAGCCTTTTCACATAATTCCCTATTTCTCTATCTCAAATTTCAGCATGAGTCAGGCACAGATTGCAGAAGAAATTGTGCAGGGCTACTTGGCTAACTTGCCTAAAACTGAAGAATGCTAACCCAGAAGGGACATTCCACATTAGTACATACGAGCTAGGAGGGAATGACCTGACACACATATGGAACATACTTATATAGATCAGTAAGAAGGATGGGCACCCTCTTTGTTGACCTGGCTTGCATTTATGGAACACTTTGACAAAGAATGGATAGTGAAGAAGTGATCTCTCTGTCAGATAGTCTGAATGGAATCAGAATCCTTTATATGTTCCTTCACACCTCCCCCTACTATCAAAAGAATTTGAGGTTCCCATGGAAAGTCCAAGGGGCAATCTCAACCCTTTTTCAACATTCTACTTGACCATCCCTCAGTTAAAAGAGACAGAGACAACTGTTGCCAATAATTAGTGAAAAGCTTAGCAATAGAGTTGCAATCTCAAGAAAACTTTTTTCCCCCCGATTCATAATTAATTAGACAACTGAGGATGTGGGACCATTTTTGTGATGGTGGTGGTGGGGAATATAAATATTGAAGAAGGAACACTTAAATGATGTGCTCCCATTTCCTGGAATGCTTTCACAACTGTTTCAATGAACACAAAAATTTCAGTGATTCATTTTTTGGAGTTGTAATTTCTGAATTTTGGCATGGCCTGTTCTACAAAATAGATATTTATGTACATAGAGTTTTCAACAGAAAATACATGTACCGAAATCTATAAGTAGTAATGTCAGGATAAATTATTTCCCTCAGGGAAAAGAGACTTTAAAAAATTTTGATAGGAAAATGAATACTTACTGCGTTCTAGTCGCAGGCCTATCCGAGATGGGTACCATTGTGGACCTGTTCTCAAATAAGCAAAAAATGTACTTTACTCCCAGGCCTTTTTTTAAAGTAAAGATTCCTATTACTTTGCCACGTCAGTCTGAAGTCTGTTCTGTATATTGCAAGATCTTGCCTGGGGGTTAATAATAACATTCAAAAGCAGTGGGTTTGTTTCAATTATATTTTGAGTGCATCTATTAAAATCATCAGTGCTTGAATCAGTCTTCAGTAAATTAAGTTCCATTGATTTCAGTGGGCCAGCTTGAAATATTACTAAGTTGTGGTACATGACAGCTTATTGCTACCTATAGTGTGATCGAACATTTGATAATCAACACATTATAATTGCTTATTATTTTATGAATAATTCAGAAATTTACATTCTGCTTTGGAGACCAGCTTCTAACCAAATTTTGCTGTTGTACTTACAAATTGTTGTTGGTGCTGTACAGAAAATTGGGATGGAAACAATGGATGAAAGGGGTAATAATCTTTCTGTTGTGGATAATTTAAACCATGTCAATATATTTAAAACTATTAATTTGAATTAATATCATACCTATGAAGTAATTTGCTTTTAAATAGTTATGGTGAATTACCTCCCTCCCCAAAAAGTCACTCCAACGTTTATCCAGTTTCATTAATTGAAGAAATTATATCTCTTTAGCAATCATGAAAAATTAAGATAAAAAGTCTATGTCAGCATCCAAACATAATGTTAAAATATGCTGTTAAAATATGCTGCCTCAAAACTTCTTTGGAATTCTGAATTTCTTACCAAAATTCAAAGTGTTCCAAGTCTCAAATTTTGGGAGTTGTTCCAAAAGGCATGGAATGCTATAGTAAATGCAATAAAGAATATATTTGTTGCTGAGTTTGCAACTTCACTACTCCATAGAAAGAACACAGCCCCCAGCTAGCTCTAGAGTATGTGCATCAAAATCCGAAACATTACTGGAATGGTCAATTGCTATGGTGTCACCAGGAGGAGTAAGAACAGAATGAAGAAAGCAGCATTGTGCCTTCACAGTACAGACCCCACTCCATGAAGGATGGAGCTTTCAGAATGATGACCAATGCTGTGTGTGTGTGTGTGTGTGTGTGTGTGTGTGTGTGTTTACATTTTCTTGTTTAAAGACAAGAGGAACAGAAGGTCAATGTCTGGCTGGTAGTAACTAGTGGATTTGGAAAACATTTACTTCCAACATTTTGGAAATCCCATAGTTTTGAATTAAACTTGATTCAGAGTTAATAAATGCTAGGGTCTGTTTGCATCACTATTTTCCTGTATATAAGATACAAATTCCTCTCAGGCAATTCTTGATGACAGCTAGAGAAAAGTGATGACCATACCTATTAGATAGAGATGATTTTGGGGTGGATGGAGGTTGAATATTGCTAGAATTCTTAAAATAATATTAACTCAAAAATATTGGACCTTATATTTCATACTATCTCAAAAACATACAAATTGAAGTTTAAATGAGAGATAAAGGGACCTCAGCACAATCTCCAGAACAGAAGATTTAAGACCCATGCTTCATGTCAACCAGAGCAGATACATTCTCTGCAAATAAAATAGATCCAGAAATGTCAAGTCCTGGTTAGGGCAGTCTGGAAATAGCAAAGGTCATAATAAATGTCCTTTAAGATGGATGAGACTCTAGCGTCTGAGAAGTCTCAAGAACACTTCTGAATTACTGCAAAACAGATAATGATATCACTTGGCAACCCTGTATTTCTTGGTTGCACAGATTGGAAAATGTTCCTGGAAATGAGCTAAACCATCTGGAGGATTTTTGCCCTCTGATTTGTTTAAGCACAAACCTATCAACTTAAGAAAATGAAGCACGTTTTAAGTTCATTGATTTTAACATGGGAGTGTTACACTTCAGCCTAACTTCTGAATGAAATCAGTGGGATTGATGAGATATATTTCACTGGCTGAATTGTCCTTGTTCACTTGCAATGGTGAAATTGACTGATATTCATAAGAGATCAATAAATATGAGACTTGTTTTTACAAGTTTTTACAACTTCCTTGTTGTAATAAGGAAGACGTCACTAGATTCATATATGAAAGCAAAGGGAAATAATTTGGTGATTCATTATAGAAAATAATGGATTTATTGGCTAGCTTCACACTTTGCACTAACATGTAATATGTTTTGCCTGGCTTGGCTTTTATAAGCTGTTGTAGCTTATACACTATGGAACAGCATTGAGTGTGAACCCCTACCACTGAGATGCTTTTTATTAATGTTAAATACATTAATATGTATACCAATTAATGCTTATAATCCTAATTGATAGGTAATTAATTAAAGCTTGACAGGTGCTAATTTGGATTGGCAGGACTAAGAATTAAAGGCACAAGTCTTTTTATATTGAAGCTGCCCTGAATTTTAATCCATTGTTGTAACGGCAAATGAGAAAACATACTAAAGAACACATTTTCTAGTAACAATGAATGCACTTATTTCAGTGTAAAAAATTGAATTTTATCATTAATTCAAAGCATCTGAAACATGGTAATTTGACATGCTAGATCAGGAGATCAGCTTATGTAGCCTAGTTGCAATTCATCTTGGTGGCAGAAGTTTTCCAAAGATTCAGGCAGAGACCCTTTCCAGCCTGAAGTCTTCCACCAGAACTGTCAGTGACTAAACATGGGACTTTGGGGATTGCAAGGCCTGGACTCTGAACTCTGTGCCATCCTCAAAGCTGCTGGTTCGGGAATTCTGGGAGTTGAAGGCCACACATCTTAAAGTTGCCAAGTTTGAGAAATACTGGTCTAAGGGAAGACTGTTAATTAACTTTTAATTAGTTGACAGAAATGTCATTTGCATCTGCCCTAACGCTTATGCCAGAAAAAGCTCAGGGCAGATGCCAGGGAGGATGGATAAAACTGTGAGGCAAGTGAGGCTGCAAGTGTCAGCTCATAGTTAATCAGGGCAGCAAATTCCCTGGATCCATACATTGAATGATGGTTTTCTACAACATCCTTCTTTTAAAAGGAGGACTATCAGCATACCCCTCAAATATGATGGCAAACGTATAGATCAAGCAATGTATCTGTCCACATGTCTGTTCAGGGAGTATTAAGTCAAATTCATCTTTTTGTGGAAAAGAATGAATTTTAATGTTGGTCTTCCTCTTTCTACCTCTGACGTGAGCTGCATTTCAGGTAACAGAGACACGCTACAGTAGTCACATGCATGAAGTGTTAGTGGAAGGAGGGGCTAAGCATTTTAATTCTGCAATCTCACTCCATTGGACTCTTCAGTCCCTGGCTCTAATCATAATTACCAATGGTGTAGCCTCAATAGTCTCAGCAGGGACGTAGTGAGCAAGGGCATGGAATGTGAACAATTTAATCAGGAAGGAGAAATAGAAGTAGATAAGTACTGTATGAAGGAATGCAAGGTAACAGGCACACAAAGAGTTCTCCATGCTGCAACATTTTTTGGAAGGAGCTATTTCTTATTAACAGATAGAATTATGTCCAAGCTAGGCATCATATGTGGAGAGGTGAGTACACTTAGAATACAAACATTGTATTATCCATAATATTGGGATAGCAGTTGCGCAGTTTATTTTCAACATTACTATCTATTCTTTTCCTGCTTAATTGAAAGTACACATTTCCACCACCACTGATAGCCAGTAAATAATATACCCCATTATCTTTACACTAGCACTTTCTGAAGCATACTCAGTCTGCCAATATTCTATCTTTACAGCTTGCTCTGAACTCTCTGAGGAATTTGTTCCAAACAAATAGTAAGATACTTACATATTTTGTGAAACTTATGTTTTACATCAAGAAGTGTTGATGATGGTGGCATCTGAAAAGAATGGGAAAAGGTAAGTAATCTGTGCATGTTTGCATATGCGTACATGCACACATGTGTGTCCATATATATACATATTCAAAATACTGAATTTTTAAGCATTCAGCATCCAGACAGGAGCTGCACAAGATCAAAAGCCTATTTAATTCAATTTGAGCAGTTTCATACTCAGCAGGCAAAACCAGCCAATCTATAACACCTCTAGGATCTACAGTATTTCTTTCAGCTACAAACATTTAAATATTTGTTAGATATTCTGTTAAGATGGGGTTAATTAATCAAATTGCACCAGCTTTACTATTTTAGAATCAAGTTGTCCATTTTTTCACAATGTTTTCAATTTCTCATTAATATCATTCTGCTATGTCCACTTAATTATATTTAGTGTTACAGCCAAATGCTTAAGACGTGGTGAAATCTAAATGATCCCAATGCAGAAAAACTTCTGATTCAATTTTATGTTGGTTCAGTCATTAAACTCAGGAAGTATTTCAGTACTACTTGCTTCCAGAAGGTCTTGAGATAAAGGAAAAATGGACAAATAAATTAAGCATTGGCATTTGCGACATCACATGAGTTTGGCCCCTATAGGCCCTTAAAAGAGCAAATGTATATACATAATACTCATGTAGTATTTTCTACTCTAAATAGATATTCTGTGTACAATTAAATAGTTGTTACAATACAGGGCCAAAATAGATCTTACTTTAAACATAGCTAGTATCTAGCTCATAGCCAGATCTAGATCTTAGCAAAGGAGAAGGGGAATTTTAATCCTTGGCCTTCTGCTGTAGAATGTATTGGGATCTTTGCTTGGAAAGTATTTGGTCCACTGGTCAGTAGTTTGATTCCATGTTGGAGTTACTGTCAATTTTTTTTTACAACTATATATGGCCATGGAGCTTCCATGTCTCATGGATATATGCTTTCCACAGATCTATGAGGAAGTAAATGTGAAATAACCCTGCTGAGAGTCTAAATACTATAGATAAACTGGTCTCCCAGGAGAATGAGAGACATATCATCCTTGCTTTCTCATCTATTCAACACAAATTATTTGAACAGTATAAAAAATGATCATCTCACTCATGCCTGTAGGCTTTATAAAAGAAAATGAGCAGCTTTTAAAAATATTTTAAGTCACAAGGAGATTTACTTGAGATAATGAATTAATTTTCCCACAGAATTTCTCTAGGCAAATCATCCTGTCAAACTCTGCAACTGGAGGTAGTAATTCTAAATGTTTTACACATTTGCTGCTGTAAGGATTTATAAGAGTTCTGAACATTCTAAAGTGCAGTGCAAATTTGCTTTTCTGTCTCAAAAAGATTATAGCATAATTTATGATATGTTTTTTGTTATAAACATGGATACGATTTTCAGAAAATCAACTATATTCTAAAAGTCAAATTTAAAATACTGTTGCTATGAGAACAGCAAATGTTAAATAGAATTAGATATAAAATATTAGCACTGAATAGTGAAGTAGTAATATTAAGGAAATATTACTTATTTAAAAGTATTGTCCAAACACTGTAGGTACTATACGTCAAAATCTAAGGGGAAGGTCTTTTGCTCCATCTCTTAAGAACCAGAGAGCTCCTGCAGATGATATCTTGTAACATTTAATTAGTGGAAACCAAATAATATTAAAAAATCTACATATATATATATATATATATATATATATATATATATATACACACACACACACACACACACACACACACACACACAAGAGACTTCATTTGGTGGGCTAAGCACAATAGGGTTCCTACAGCAAAGTTTTTGCCACTTTCAAAGGAAGGTCATACATTCATATTTGTTTGATTCATAGCCCTATCTAAAAGTCACAGTGACACATCATTAAAGTGGAGTTTTCATCAAAGCCATAGGGGATAGAGTCTGCCTTGTTTAACACAGAATGTTAAACAAAAGCTGCAGTATAAATATCTCCTATTGGCACTATCTGATTCTGTTGATGAATCAGCAGAACAAATCAGAAACATTTGCAATTTCAGAGGAGAAAAATACATTAAGCCACTGCAATGATTAAAATAAAATAAATTAAAATCTTTCAGACAGCAAAATACTATTAAAAGAAAAGACATGTACTCTGCAATGTGCTGTTAAAAGCACACCTAGACTTACCTTATCCACTACACAGATCTGCTTTTTGCTGTGGGCATCAAGAATCTCCACTTCAACGTAAGTGATTTTTGAATGTCTCAGGACTGGCAGTGGTCTTAGGTGTCCAGCAGAAAGTACAAGCTGGGACAAGTTGAAAAAACTTCTCATGCCATTATGAGGTGCAGGCAATGCAGATCCATGGATGGCAAGGTCTTTCTTGTGCTCAAGAGTGCTGGACTTATGTCTCCTGTACATGGCTGGGAAGAAACACAAGGGCCTGTCATGTCAACACTGGACACCTACAACGGGTGATCTGTTGTCCCTGCATCAGTTAAATACAAACACCGGCTGATGAAAGGTCAAGTGGCATTCCATTTAGAGAGTCTAAGTTTATATGGCAGGATTGGAAACAATGGCTTTCTAATCCATTACTATATTTAGCTGGCTATTGTGATATTCTGTACTACTGTTTTTATTTTAAACACAGTGTTTGAAACAACACACCCTGCTTAGTTTCTTATCTTGCTCCCTAATTATTACAATCCAGTTCCTTAAAAAAAAAAAAGTCCAGGAGCTATAAACGAATCAGAACTGATATGCAATGGAATGCCATTATTATCTATAGAAGCTGGGTATACAAATAGGTCCAGTTATAAAAATGCAAGTCAAATGTCACCCACGTGGTACTTGTTTCTTAATACAGAGCATGTCTATACTAAGCTTGTGATGCCAATCAATTAACTAGTCAAATACTGTCAAATGTCTGCCACATATTATCAAGTATTCCATGAAGCTAAAAATATGCTTGTGTAGGTGGATGACCTTCGATTCAATTGCATCATGTTGTCATCCAATACCAAAAGCAAAAAAAGAGTGAACTCCTCTCACTTCTTCACATTATAGGAGTCAAAGTACACACACACTTCATACATACACTTTGTTCAAACTTCAGTACAGAGGGTGTTACATCTCTGGCCTGGGATGACCCAGCATGAAAAATGTAGAAGTGGTGCTTCCATTTGTTGCCATCAAGGCTTGAATGAATACACTTTTCAGAGTAGAATACATTCAGTCACATGTGTCATATAATGACCTCAGAGACATACAGTATTCTAAATAAATGAGGTTTCCATCATTGCATCTCCATACTAAGCTGCCTAGAGTCACCTATGTAGTGAGATGGACAATGTATAAATTTGATACATACATACATACATAAATATTGAAGACACCACATTTTTACAACAATTAACAAAAGAAGCCAAGCTTGACTGGGATAAACAGTAACATTCTGCATGAATGCATAATAATGATGTGCTCTTGGGACCCACACCTAGAGTAAGTTTAAGGAATGAGCAAAATGTTCCTGGCATGGTCCCTGCCCAAACTAAAACATGCATATTTCATATGTTCTTGATTATATATCAATCAGAACTGTTTTGTTCTTGATATGGAATAAAATGCCATTGTTCCAAGTAGAAGTAGCAATGGTAAGTGTGGGGATAAGTCAAGGCTGAAGGGCTTCCTTGGTGACAGTGTGTGCCCATGACACTAATGGTAATGGAGGAAGCAGTGAAAGATGAAAAGGGAGGGGATAGCCCCTTGCACACTTACTGTGATGTGGGGAAGCCCCTGCCTGTTCCCTGCATGTGCAACACCACCGCTTCCCCATTTTGCAATGTAGACCTCAGCAGCAGCAGCAACAGCAGCAACAGCAGCAGCAGCAGCAGCAGCAGCAGCAGCAGCAGCAGCAGCAGCAGCAGCAGCAGC